TATCAAGGCGTTCCTGTTTGAACTCAAGAGCGTGTCTCATTAAGAACGCACAACTCCCAATACTAAAAGCATTCAGAATAGACTAGGAACACTTACAAACGCGGCACCAAAAATAGAGGGCATATACATCAGGTTTGACCTTATCCACAATTTACTTGTCATCTTCAAATGCAAGTCTTTTGGTGATCTTGCTCCGGATTCAATAATGCCTGCGTACTCCTTGAATCAGAACTGAACTAATTAAGCAATTAAGGAGAAAAATTCTAAACTTCAGTCTGAACCAGTCTTTGAAAGCACATGTACTGCTTCGAAAACAGCTACTGGCAATCGAAAATTAAGTTTTAATAAATACGTCCAATTTATGTCATCTTCTAATCATGTTTTCATTCTTTGACAACGGCATAACAAATGTGGACATAAACTCAAATATACTGTTGATGAATTAGTCGCTTAAAAGAACCAGACTTTGGATAGCACAAAAAAAAATTTCCACAGCTTACCTAATTTTCAGAAACTTCGACAACGAATAAAATCAAATTCGGTCAAATCTGGCAACAGCAACGAACCTCTATCTTCAACCCACAGCAGTTCACGACCGTACGCTGAAGGTATTTCATGTTTCTGACTGCGTTTCACTAAAGCAGCATGTGCTCAGCTGAGCTTAAATTCTTCGGCCTTTACTTTACAATTTCATTCCATGAAACTTTAAAACACACAACAGTTTAAATTGGACATGATTGTGTTTAAGCGAACCGACGTCGCGTTGTACCTTCGTCTGTTTTCGGATAATTTAATCTATTTGGGGACTTGTATCAATATTGTACAAATCAGCGCAGAGAGCGAGTTGTGTAGCGCCACCAAACAGGAAGACGGTGCTTTCCTTTAGAGCGACCATGCAGGCAGCTATGCCTTTCTTAGATGGCCGTGGGATCGTTTCCATAACGATGAAGGATTAATGGCGCTCTCCACGTCTGCCGATAACCGTAGTGCCACATTAGCCAACGTTTATTCTAGTAACTGTTTTACCCATTCTGGAAGAGCCATTCTTGGCAGAAAATGAACTATTGTTATTGCGGTGATTTAACAATAGTTTGAGGCTAATTTGTTCGTAATGCAATCTGTCCATTCGATGTTCAACAGCCCTCGTTAGCGTTTCACATGGAACGATTGAGGTTCCCTCTTCATTAGAGTTGAGCTTTAACAACTACAAAATAGGAATTAATAAATTACGTTAAAATTTAAAATTCAGAAATTTCGCACCACTAACCAGTTTTGCAGATCCCTTCAGAAAAATGTGTCGCGTCTGTTGAGATAATCACTTTGAGCCGTTTGCATAAGCTGATCGTGTCAGGATCATGATGCCTACTGTATGCGCAGCTTTCGAACACTTTTTCTATAAGGTGCCAGTTATTACATCGTAGAATAACGAATTGCCCCAAAGAATCAGATCTGCTTCTAACCTGTCCTGCCACTCTTCAGAAAAATGGATATCAGGGAAAGTAACTCGGTTCTATTTCATTGTCATTTGTATCTACCATGTCATCGTTTAGTATATTCGCCATACACCTGAAGGTCTTAGCTCAGTAAGGCCTTAACTTGATTTCCTCTAGTGCACCAATGTTGGGATCCACATCGTACAAAAAGTTCGATCGTAATCATACGCAAATTGACAACTTTGTCTACTGCGTTAAATATGAGGGAAAGATTGTTGGATAACTGTGCAGGGGAGGCTAACAAGACTCCTGAAGTATGAAACAACTAGCAAAGGCTTGTCACGAATCCCTAAGGAAACTGCTTAAGAGGCAATATTGTATGCTTTGAAGCATCAACCGAATGTGCACCTTGTCATTGGATAATCACCTATCAAGTGGCCAAAGGGCCCTGCAGCTCTAGGAGTGCTCGCATCAAACATCATTGCCGTATCTCTTGCACATTCTGGTATGACCAAACCAGGACGTCAGTCAGCCTCTGATCGCAGCAAGTCACCGAGTTATACCTGGCTAGTTGCATCGGAGCATTTCTAAGTAAATTCCTTGCTGAAAAGAACTGATGGTCAGGGGAATTTTTTTCAGGATTCGTGTCCGGTACCTCCAGAGTTCCTACTGGCTTCTTACCACAGTACAAACTTTCAACAGTGATTCGGCTTAGAAATGCGACGCTCACTAGAAACCTTAACAGAATAAGTTAGACCACTGTCTATTAATACAAAATAAAGCGTAGCAAAATGTCTACTAGATGTCATCTAACTTCTGAGCGTAGGAACACGATTTACGGATTTAAAACACGTACTATCGCCGCTAACGGTAATACTGTCGCTGCTTCATTAAAAATCCAACATAAAATAGATGTCCAATTCCGTGTGTATATTTTATTGAAATTCTACATAACCGAAAATAAATTTGTGATTGTCCAGCAATGGTAGAACCCAATAAGCAAACTCTGAGATCTTCTTGCTGTGTGATTAGAAAACACAAACATAAGGTAAAGCTGACTATATTTTACTTAATAGTTGACGCATTTCGTTACTAACATCGAAAATCTCCTCAGGAATGCACGAATTCAGCAATTCGTCTAAAGGAGTACTTAGTTTGCATGAATGATGAGCGCTGATAGACACTAATTACTTCTCAATACGCATTTTAATTAATGAAGCTATATTATGAGCTCTTTAGCTGTAAATGTTCAGAGAATACTTACCGGTATAGAACGAGCTGCAGTGACTACCACACTGAAGCCAGCCTGATTTATAAACTTACATGCCTGTGCAGCAGTCAGGTAATTTCCAGACAAAAAGTTCAGAAGTGTTCTATGGCATATGGTGCTCCAAGCATCGATAACGAAACGTATTCAATAAAATAAGAGCATATCAATCAGCTTTTGGCTTGAAAGCATTTCCATTATATAAACTCTTGAACCTTGGATAGAGAATCAAAGCGTTGGACTTTCTACAGGGTGTGATAATAAATTAATTTCATTATCACACCATTTCATTTGATCAGTTCTAAGGTAACGTTTTGCTCTCAAATATGGAAAATCTATAGGTAAAAGCATGAAATCGACAGGAAAGCACGCAAAACTTAGTCTGACTTAACAACCGATTCACTTATCAGCAATACGAACGCAAATGAGGCGGCCCGACTGGCTGAGCTGATAAACTCGAGCGATTCGTGTCTGACCAGTTTCACGACGACGACAGAGATCATCTGTACCCGGTGACGACGTGAAAGAGCGAAAACCTTCGACTAAGTACGAGAAAAATTTTCTCGGATATACTTTTGAACATTCGGGTGAAATCAATAGATTAAGTGCAGCTCAGCCCAGTGATAATTTGACCGTGTGATATATCTACTGACGACGAAAATCAAGACGTTTGCTACAGCACGTAACGTTGCCCAATGTCAATCTGAGATATCATTTCCAAAAGTTAGACCACACAGCTGTTACTCCGCTATGGCAAAACAAGAACAACAAATCCGTGGCAGAATATAGGTAATTTAGAGTGCTGTAATACATAGAAATGTACGGTTGACAGATACACTTTAATCTTGCTAACGAATATTGGACCGAAACATCAATGCTTTACCAGAAATATTATTCTCTATCCAACACACATACCATCTACTCAGGATGCTTACTCTGCCAGCATCTTAAAAAAACATAGTGGTAGTTTATGGATGTCATTTGACTTCCTTAATCTATGATGACCCAATGATGTATGGATAAGTACGCAGCAAAGATCATAGACTAACGAGTCTTTCTACTGATCA